GGGGGGGGGGTCCCCACAGCCCCCCCACCTTTCCTCACACCCCAGACACTTGCACTCTGAGCCCCACAATCCCCCACATATATACGACTTCCCCACACACGCAGCCACACCCTTCATAAACCTCCCACACACCCTGCCATAACCATACACCTATCCCCTCCCACAATCTAGCTGGTGGTACTTAAGGTTGTATCATTTTAAATTGGCAGTGCGCAATCCATCAGTCTGGGAAACGCTGCTCTACCTGTATGTCTGTAGAAAGAACAGGTGCATCTCAGCTTATTGCTTTTAAATCGTGTTTAATTCTGAAAGCATCTTATAGGTATTCCAGGTCTTCATGGATTGTCTTGTTGGAAGGATTTCTGAAATAATTTAGGACAGAGGGAAGCTAATGGCATATCTCCTGTTCTCCCAGAAAGCTAATTCATGATGGCTAGAAAAATCTAATCAGTGAATTCTTTGCTTCTCTGTTTTAGGTGTACTGATTCTTTTGATGCTTTAGACTTTCAATTTGGACTAGATGCCCCCAAATTTAACTGATTCTTGTAAACTGTATCACTTCTGGTGAGTGACCAGTCCTCCCAAGGGTGTCTCTATCACAGAGGAGGCAGTGGCCAGACTTGCTTTTCTTCAGTAAATTCCTCAGTGTGAGAGGATACAGTGGTCTTCTCCCCCTGTTGCAGGGGTCAGGTCCCAGCCCCTTGCCTGTGTGGGGTTGACTTGCCCTGACCTTGCAGGGGCCTTTTGGGATTCCAGGAAATGACAGGTAGTGCCCGCGAGGCAGCTAATCCCAGGCCAGGTGGGAAGCGTGAAATTAGCTTGCTGTGCTACTGAGGCATTTACACTCCCCTAAAAAAAAATTCACTTCCTCCCCCGGACACTTCCCTGGTCTTTTTTTTGTGTGTGCATTTCTTTTCTTACTGTTTCCAAACTGCCCTATCTCTCCACTCCTGTTGCTAGAGAGGCTGCTTGAAAACTTCTGTCTTTTGCTATTTTTACTGGAGTGGAACAAAGGGCGGTGCAATGTGCCTTGTGTTCAGGATTTCACGTACTGAGATCCCCATTGTTCTTTCCAGTTGTAAATTTGGGGCATTTATGTTGGGGTGTTTTTGTTTGTTTGTTTTGGTGTTTTTGCTAGCAGACTGATTGATTGCAATCCTTTAGCACTCTGCTGTAGGAAAAAGTTGGAACTATAAATTCCAGGACAGAATTTCTACCTTGATTGTTCGTTTGTTTCTTGCGAATGGAAATAAGTTTGTTTGAAATACTTCTAGCAAATGAAAAGTGCAGTTTTGTGGAAAATTAGTATAAAGGAAGACCCCCGGTACTATTCAAGTGCCCCACGATATTTTAAAGAAAATGCAGTTATGAGGCAGATGCATTCTTTTGTTGTCATTGTTGGAGCAGAAAAAGAGAGAGTTTTTCTTAAACATAAAATTTAAACTAGAGAGCTGAGGTTCCAAAGAGCTGCTTATGTGACAATTCAGCGTTTAGAATTTAATCAGTTTAAAGTGCAAACTTGCCGCAGTCTTGTAGCAGACAACGGCCTCAATTCTGTGTGTTTGATTCTCTTTCAGGAAATTGAGAATGGGCTATCAACAATGCTAGGTCTACAATGGGAAGTGTCACACTTCGCTATTTCTGCTATGGGTGCCTTTTCACATCTGTGACCTGGACGCTTCTGCTCTTCGTGTATTTCAACTTCAGTGAAGAGACCCACTCTTTCAAGAATGTGCCCGTCAAGGGGCTGGAACCTCAAAAGCCAATTCCTAAAAAAATTTATCCCCGGTTCACTCGGGGTCCCATTCGCAAACCCGACCCACAGAAGAAAGGAGGCAAGATGGGGAATCCATTGGGGAATCATGAACAGGACCCAGTGAAGGGAGACATAGATTTTTCTCCTGAAATGGGTAAGTGGGCTGGGCGGTCTGCATTACTAATGACAACCGCAGCTTAATAAGCCATACGGTGCGAGAGAAACATGTCCTTAAGGGAAGGTAAATTGTCTTGGTAATGGATTAGACTTCAAGTTTATTCTCTTATGATACATATTTTGGGGGGGGGGGGGG